GGCCGAGGCGGGTGGATCACGAGGTCAAGAGATCGAGACCATCCTGGTCAACATGCTGAAACCCCATCTCTACTAAAAATACAAAAAATCACCTGGGCATGGTGGCGCGTGCCTGTAATCCCAGCTACTCAGGAGGTTGAGGCAGGAGAATTGCCTGAACCCAGGAGGCGGAGGTTGCAGTGAGCCGAGATTGTGCCATTGCACTCCAGCCTGGGAAACAAGAGCGAAACTCTGTCTCAAAAAAAAAAAAAAAAAAGAAAGAAACTGCTGCAAAGCATGATGGCTTAGAACAGCAGCCATTTTATTTACTCAAGATTCTGCAACCAAAGCTGGGATGGGCTGGTTGGTTCTGCTGGGTGTGTTGTGGGCACTCATGGGCATGAAGCTGGTGGCGCAGCTGGGGCCTGAAATCTGCTGGGTTATTGGAAGGTTGAACTTTTCTTTCTCTTTGTTGTCTTAGAATTGGCATTGAACCACATCTGCATTGCACTGATTAAAGTCACAGGCCAGCCCAGGTCAAGAGGAGCACAAATACAAGGCCATAAAACCCCAGAGGCATGGATTCACTGGAGTCTCCAATATAAAAGGATATCACGTCAGTGGGTGGAGAAGGGGGCATATATGTGAATAAAAGGCCCTACCCTTCAGCTGCCTTCTCTAGGGAGCTCACAATCTTGTCTCTAGCATCATGGGCTTAACAACTGTTGTATCAACCCACCGCTTTAAAAACATGTTTTAGGGTATAACACATTTAGAGAGCATGCTCAGGTGCCCCTCACATCCCATTAGTTAGTAAATGCCCCACTCCTGCATCCACCCCAGACATCTCACCTGATCTTGCCTATCTAGGATGGGGCTTTAGACAACAATCATCGCTTAAGCCAAAGGGAAATGGTGGAATTGCAGGCAGAGACTGAAGCTATTAGGGTGAGTAAGAAGAGCGGAAGGTTTTCTCCCTACCTCTCAAATCACAGCAGGTCAGTGACTGCCGTCTGTGACTGCCAGGCCCGGGGAAACAGTGGCGAACCTGCCTCAGGAAACGGTTGTGAGGACATTTCCTAAGCACTGTGTCTTTAAGACTGATGGGCCCGAAGGCGGCTGTGTGGCTGGGCAGTGTGGAAATGTACTGGGGCACAGGGCAGGACGTCTTTTTCAACAAATTCCTGAGCATAACAACTTCCATGATATCACCCGCTGGGAGCTGACGGCCACTGAAGAAACCCTGCTTGAGAATATTTTGAGCCACGGAAGGCTTCTAAGTTTGACTAAAAGAAGAATGTTCAAAAGAAAGAGAAACAGTGTGATGTCTCTGAACATTCTCACACAGGGCACTGCTCTAAGGGTTGGAGGTGCCTTGGCTTAATTTCCACAGTTGCCCTGTGAGGTAGCTAATAAGCCTCCATTTACAGATGTGGAGCTGAGGCTGAACGAGGGGCTGAGCGGCTCACCCCGGGACACCCAGCTGCCAGTGGCAGGACTGGGCTTGGGCCCAGGCAGCCTCCCTTTGGAGCCTATGCCTCGGCTACTAGTTACACTGCCCTAAGGAGTCACTGCCTCAGGCCCTCACCTGATTAGGGAGCCTGGCCTTTTTCAGCCAAAAGCAGGGCTCTTAGCCTTTCTTGGCCTGAGCAGGAGGGCTGGCACGTCCATGCATCACTTCGCTTTGAAAAAGTTGCTGTTTCTTTAACTCAGCAAATCAGAAAATTGTTCCTGAGTTGATACTTCTGGTATCAGACCAGTTTCCCTTTTTCTGTGTCTTCCTGTATCATATATATAATTATTTCTGTGTCTTCCTGTATCACGTATATAATTATTTACATATTACATATACATATGTGCATATATCAAGAAACATGGCAGGGCACAGTGGTTCACTCATGTAATCCCAACACTTTGAGAGGCTGAGGTGAGAGGATTTCTTGAGCTCAGGAGTTCAAGACCAGCCTGGGCAACAAAACGAGACCCTGTCTCCTAAAAATTAAAAAATTAACTGAGCACGGTGATGCATGCCTGTAGTCCCAGCTATTGGGAGGCTGAGGCAGGAGGCTTGCTTGTGCATGGGAGATTGGCTACAGTGAGCTATGATCACGCCGCTGCATTCTAGCCTGGTGACAGAATGAGACAAGAAGAAAGAAGGAAAGAAGGAAGGAAGGAAAGAAGAGGGAGGGAGGGAGGGAAAAGAAAAAAGAAACATCAATGTGTTTCTACCTCCAAGTCAGAGCACTCTGACTATGTAATGGACATGCAAAAGAAAATAATAAATATCTTTGAGAATTAAAGAATAAACACAGGAGGGATTTCCCTCCAAGCTCAACAAACACAGTAATCCTTGTAGACAGAACCACTAGTACTTAAATAAACAAAGAGAAGAATAAACACAGGGCATGTGACTTAACTGGATAGACATTTGCTGCCGTTAGAAGCTGCGCTATGGACCGGCATTGGGTATTGATGCACAGAGCAAGTATAATTGCAATTAGCTACTAGAACACTGGGCACTGATATACAGTGGACATTACCTCCAACAGACGTTTCCCTTTGTGGATATTGGTCATTGGTGGAAGCTGTCATTCATATGATAAATATTAGATATCAACCGACATTTGCACCCTGGTGAACGTTAGCCAACAAGGAACACTCAACATTGATGGGCAAGGGCGGTGTGGGGGAGAGGGAGGTCAGGGTGAGACCCGGGTCCCACAGTCCGGCTTCTTCTCACCTCCCCCACATTCCCTGGGACTGGCGAGGCTTCGGATGCAGGTAGGGCTCACGGTACTTTCACCCAACGAGTCAGTGTCTTTCTTTCTTTCTTTCTTTTTTGAGACGGAGTGTTTCGCTCTTGTTGCCCAGGCTGGAGTGCAATGGCGCGATCTCGGCTCACTGCAACCTCCGCCTCCTGGGTTCAGGCAGTTCTCCTGCCTCAGCCTCCTGAGTAGCTGGGATTACAGGCACACGCCACCATGCCCAGCTAATTTTTTTGTATTTTTAGTAGAGACGGGGTTTCACCATGTTGACCAGGATGGTCTCGATCTCTTGACCTCGTGATCCACCCGCCTTGGCCCCCCAAAGTGCTGGGATTACAGGCTTGAGCCACCGCGCCCGGCCCGAGTCAGTGTCTTTCTAAGTCCCCGCATGCGCTGATGGAAGGAGTCCTTGCGGGAGCACCGTGGAACTAAAGGCCTTAAAGACAGGGCCGAGGGCAGAGGGCGCTTCTGCGGGCATCAGCTCTGGGGCAGCTCACCTCCGCCCGAGCTCAGCTTCCACTGCAAAAGCGGGCAGGGTGAAGGCCCCGTGAAAGCACCGGCGCGCATGCCACCAAGCTGCGTGGGCTCGTCCTTCCCGGTGGGGATCCTGCACCCGCAGCCCCGGCCTCCCACCAGCCATAAGCAGAGCGGAAACCCCAGCCGGCCTCGGCGACCCGCGAGTCCCCTCCCTCCCCGTGCGGAGGCTCCCGGCCTGCAGAGCCACCTCGTGCTCGATTATGGCCAGACACCCCCGATCCCAGCGGAGCCGGGAGCCAGGCGCGGCTGGAGGCGAAAGTTGGCTTCGCCGTTTGCTTCCTGCGGCCAGTCCCTCCCTGCCCGCCAGACTACCCTCGCCCTGCAGGACTCCGCCCTCCAGGAACCCTGACGCCCCGGGTGAGGACTTTCGACTCTTACGCAATCGCGAAAATCAGTGCAAAGAATCCGTTTTGGAAATCACAGAAAAGGGTTGAAACCTTGGGTTCATCACTAACCAATTGTGTGATTTTGGCCAGTTCACTTTACCTCTCTGAGCCTGGAAAATAGGGATGAAAATATCTCCTTCAAGGCCCGCCCGATGGCTCATGCCTATAATTCCAACACTTTGGGAGGCTGCGGCAGGAGGATCACTTGAGCTCAGGAATTCAAGACCAAGAGCAGCCTGGGCAACATAATTAAAAAATTAAAAATTAAAAAATTAACTAGGCATGGTGGTGCCTCTAGTCCCAGCTACTCGGGAGGCTAAGGTGGGAAGATGGCTTGGGCTGGGAGGTTGGGGCTGCAGTGAGCCAAGATTGTGCCCCTGCACTCCAGCCTCCAGCCTGGGGGACAGACCTAGACCCTGTAAAAAAAAAGGGGGGGGGGCGGGCGAAGAAAGGAAAGAAAGAAAGAGAAACAAAGAGAAAATAGAAAATCTCTCCCTCCCCAGGACTGTATGAAGAAGAAATGAGCATTCCTAGAGAACCGAGTTACTGTGCGTGGCACAAAACAGCCACCTGGAAGTGCTGACCTCCCCCTCCCCAACACCGCCCAGGCCACCCTCTGCTCTTTCCCGCCTTGAGTGCTGGGTGCCAGCCTAGTTGATACTTCGCCCTGGGGAGGCCTGATTACAAAATGGGCAGGCTCCCCACCAGTGCCTATGGCCTGAATGTTCTGGGGACAGAGGAGGTATCAGGAAAAGCCTGTCGTGAGTGATGGCAGCAGACATTCCCTGTGGACTGGCCAGTTAGGAGGAACCTGGTGACGGCGGTACCACCCAGATGAGCTCCCAGTGTGATCTGTCAGTGGAAGTGTGCAGACAGGAGCCGGGGAACCACAGCACCTGAAATGTCAGGGAAGAACAAAACACTGCTGCTGCTCAGAGGAGGGACCGGGACGGGGCCAGGGAAGCCTCTGAGGTCCGGCAGCAACTAGGTCTACTGGATGGGAAGCAGGCTGAGAGACAGGGGTGAGGGCCAGGGCAAGGCCCCATGCTAACGCCTGAGCAAGAGAACAGGGGTGCAAGGGCCTGCCTGGCAAGCTCATGGCTATGGCTGGAGTTGGAGTGGCAGGAACAGTGGCACAGGGTGTGGGGAGATGAACGAGGTGAGCAGGATGCAGGAACTCCCTCCCTCACCTCACTTTACTCCCCAAATCCTGAGATTATCAGACTTTTCAGGGAAAACAAGCTGCCCAGGGCAGGACCTAACCTGATTCATCTTTGTGGCCCCAGAGCCCGGCCGAGGGATTGCCAGTGGACACTAGTTGAGTGAAGCAAAGAACTCTTTATAGTATTTATTAAATCAAGGACCAGTCAGATAGATGCTGGGCTAGGCAGGTGGGAGAAGACAGAGCTGACTGCCCTGTGGGGTCTCTGTGGGGCCAGCCCCTGATGCCCACGAGGCTACTGATGCCCGGCTTCCCCCCAACACCACCAGCACAGGCCCAGGACAATATTACAAAAGTGAACAAATGCAACCCTTTTCTTCTTTTACAAATGACATGTCTCCATCTCCTGCCAGCAGGGGTGGGGGATGTGGGTTGAAAGTGACAGTCCATTAAAAAGGCAACAACTTTTATAAAACGAAGACTAAGCAAAGAGCCCAGGGCTGGGAAGCTGAGATGCTACCCTGGGGGTAGAGAACATGGGTGGGGGAGACCCTGCCTCCTTTCACAGCCTTCCTGGGAGGGTGAGAAGGGCTGATGCCAGTGGGGACTGAATCCAGGAGGCCCCTCAGAGCTCCCGGCCGGGTACTCTCTGGAAAGGCAGCAGCTCCTTGGGGGAGCATCTCGAGGACACTCGGGAAAACGGGTAGGTTTCCAGTATGGATGCTGGGGGGCCCCAACAGAGTGAGAAACTGGCTAGGCTGGATCCGGTGTGCCCTAAGCTACCAGAGGCACCAAAGGAGAGTGACTTAGCCCAGGCCCCAGAGCTGGTCGCCAGGCCCAGAGTGCCACTGGTGGGGCGCCTGCCTGTCCTGCTGCTGCTACTCCTGGGCTAATGGGGAAAGGGCAAGAGCAGCAAGAGGAGCCCAGGTGAGGAGGGGAGGGCTTATCGGAAGAGACAAGAAAGTGCAGTGGGCGGGACTGGGAGGAAGGAGGCTGTGCTCCAGTCATGCCACTGCCCCATAGGAACTCAGATTAGACTTTTTCCTTCTTGAGACCTCAGTTTCCCCATCTGTCACATGAGGAGGGTGGACTTGATTCTTTGCAATTTCTTCTACCATAAGGTTCCAAGGAAATAGACAAGGATGAAGTGGGCCTCATGAGGGGCCCATGGCAAAGAAAGGGCTGTGTCCGAAAAGAAACTCATGCCCCTGAGTGACCGGGCCATGGGCCCAAGGGGACACTCAGCCCAGTGGACCTGAACTCTGCCCTGCAGCGGGGGTTCTTACCCACCCTCTGCCTGTCGAGGGTCAGGCCGGCCCGGGCATGAGGGAAGGCACTTGGGGGATAAGCGGGGAAGGGAAGCAGGAGGGGACCACAGTCTGGTTTGGCATTGAAGTCCCTCTGCTCATGGTTTGGGGGAGCAACATAGACAAAAGGGCGAGACTTTGCTCCCGGGCGTGAGTCCCAGGTCCAAAGCCTCCCCTCAGTCCATGACTCCTGCGGTGACGCCACCACATAGGCCTGTGGGCTCCCCACTGGTGTCGGCACATTGAACATAAGTTACTCGGGACCTGAGGCAGCCCAGGACAGCAGTCTGTTACGTGGCCCCGGGCCACACCATTCATCACAAGGTGTTGGGGCCCTTGGCAGCAGATTCCCGGGTGTCTACGCAGTGCAAGGCCACCTTGGGGCTGGAGCCAGGCCTCCGGGGGTAGGTGCCCTCCCGCACCACGCGCCGGCACCGCACATCCTGGCTCACGCTGATGCTCTGCAGTGCCGGGAGGCGGGGGAGCAGCGCCTCAGGCAGGGGGACCAGGTTTGTATCTGAAAGGTCCAGCTCCTGCAGGGAGCCCAGGCCTGAGAACACCTCAGCTCCTGCCCAGTTGAGCTTGGGGTTGCCGGACAGGTCCAGGACCTGCAGGCCCGGAAGCTCCCGGAAGCCATAGGGCGCCAGCTTGGGGAGCCCCTGCAGGCTGGCCAGAGACAGGTGTGTAAGGCCTGCCAGCCCCGCAAAGGCACCCGGACCAAGGACAGCCAGAGGGTTCCCATCCAGGCTCAGGTAGCGCAGGGGCAAGTCTCGGAGGTTGGGCACGGCATGGAGCTGGTTCCAGGACAGGTTCAGGCTCTGAATGGTAGGCATGGGCAGGCTGGCACTCCTGGGGTGGGGCACGAGGCGGTGAATGAGGTTGTGGGAGAGGTCCACATGTAATGCCCGGCCCTGACTGTGGGTCGTGAAGGCGGACACTGAGACCTCCCGGAGCCAGTTGTGGCTAAGGTTCACGTCGCTCAGGGGCGAGCTGGTGAAGCTCTCGGCTGGCAGGGCCGTCAGGCCATTGTGGCTGAGGTCCAGTGATTCCAGGTAGCGAAGGCGGGAGAAGGCAGTGGGTGAGATGCTGGTGAGCAGGTTGTGGCTGAGATCCAGGCCAGCCAGCGTCGTGTAGCCCGGTCCTGCCAACACTGACTCGTTCACCATCTCCAGCCGGTTAGAGGACAGGTCCAGGTGGGCTGTGTCCAGAGGAATGGGCACTGGCACAATGTGGGGGCCCAGGCCGCTGCAATCCACCCGAGTCAGGCTGAAGCTGTCGAAAAGGCCGAAGGTCTCCACCTCACACTGGCACCCGGGAAAGCATGGCCGTGTTGTCTGGGCCCTACTCACGGTCAGCAGCAGCAGCAGCAGCAGCAGCAGCAGCAGGGGCCACGGCATGGTGGGGGCTAGAAAGAGAGCCACAAGTGAGGACTGAATGCACCAGAAAGTCTAAACCCACCGTACAGGACATGAGCCCAGACATGAGCCCAGTCTAGACACCGCTGGAAGGTGTCACAGTCCCTGACCTCCTGGAATGCTTCCTGAACACTCCTCCCCAGAGTCCCTAGTCCCCGCGCCTCTCTGGCCTCTGCCTCTCCGTCTGGTAATGAGAGTGAGGCATGGTGGTGAATTTTCAACTAGAAGCAGCAGATGAAGGCAGGCCTGGTCCAGCTGAAGTGAGGACCTACAGCCTTCTACTTCTGCCCACTATCCCTGCCTAGGGTGTTAGGAACCCAGTATGAAACCCACTGGTCTAGATGGTTTTTCAGGCTGGCCTCTCCAGCTCTGACAGTCCAGAGTCTCTGGGTTGGTTTAGACCTGGACCCCAGGGGAGAGGTTTATCCACAGGGCTGAGGGGAGGGTATGCCCAGGGTGCCCCATTCTCTGCTGAGCAAGTGTTACGCATCGGCTGCTGTTCTGGCTGCCCCAGAGCACGGTTGCATCTGACCCTCACGACCACCTTGCCAGGCAGAAAATTCTCTCTCTTTTACCAAGAGGGACTGGGCCTTGGGTTAAGGTACTTTTGCACAGCCACACAGCTGAGTGGACTGGCACTCAAGGGATACTGACAGAGAAAGCATGATCCACTGCTGTGGTCTGGCCAGGGCTGAGCCAGGCCTGAGACCCACACTCCAGCCTTCAAGATCAAGGCTCTCTCCCTGCAATGGGGCCTGCAGTGACTGCCCCCCTGCACCCCTACTTCACCTGCCCCATCCCCCTAGCCTGTCGTCCAGAGGCAGGATCTTCCCTTCTCATTGGACACCCTGGTGTCCAACCTGGGTATCTAGACTCCCAGATGGGTTTTGGGGACACCTGTCCCGAGCCCCTTTCCCCCTTACCCTGCCCCTTGCCCACAGCAGATTAAGCTACTGCATCTCTTTGGTGCTTCCTTTAACCTTAGGCAGGCAGTTAGGCTGTTTCTCTCATTATGCAGATGAAGAAACAGATGCTCAGAAAGAAAAAGGGCTTTACCCCAAATTAGTAAAATGCAGGGCAGGAATGGGACCCAGGCCTGGCGCACTCCAATTCCTCTAGTCACATGCCTTGCTTCCGGCGGGACTGGAAAAGTAGCTGGTGGAGAGGCAGGAGGGGCTTTTCCCACTGACACATGCTATGCCGTGAGCCACTTCCTCTCCCCAGATCTGTCTCCCTCTGTATAATTACAATGGTGGCTGCCACAGATGCCAGGAACTACATACATGTTATCACATCTCATGGGCACACCACCCACAGCTGTTGGATTCAAAGGCTCTGTTCATGTCCACTGTAGCTCCTGGGATGGTTGTGGCTCAGTGGTGCCAGCATGAGGACAAGTTGGGCAGTGGGAGCGTCTAAGTTGACCAATTGGATAGTCTGTGGTGACCCCTGGCCTGCAAGGCATCCTGCAGCCTGGGAAACAGAAGGCACTAAGATTCCTTCCAGCAGGGCTCTTCATCTGGGTGGCCCTGCTCTGGGCCCCCTGTCCTGCCCATCCCTCCCTCTGGCCTTCAGGAAGCGGGTGGGAGAGGGGGTGGAGATGGGCCAGGGACCTGCCCACCTTCCAGACTGGCGGGTGGGTGGGGAGGGAGCAGCAGGATTGTATTACCAGCCCTGCGTGAAACTTTAAAGGGCTAGCCACTTGTTCTGCACTCTGGCTTTGCCCAGGGGCAGGGAAAAGTGGGGCTCCTCTCCCCTGCTCCCCTCCCCATGTGGGCCCCTCCTCTTCCACCCCTTTCTTTGTAGAGGCCAATTTGAGGATTAAATCCAGCCCAGGTGCATCCTGGGCATGGTCCCAGCTGAGGCAAGACAGAGTGTTCCAATGTCTGGAACCAAAAGGAAAATATTAAGTTGCTTCAGGCCCCCTTTGTTCCCCTGGGTGAGTTCCTCACTGCAGGGCTCATTACCACCAAAGGCCCCACCTCCCTTGCTAAGCTGATCTGCTCATACCCACCCTTCCTGGGGTTTAAACAAATACCACAAAGGCCCCGAGATTACCCTTTGATTCCCAGAGGTGATTATACAAGGGGTCTGTGAAATGCCAAGCGGCCTCTTATGAGCTCCCACTTATGTAACCAGCAGCTCAAACACAGCCCAAATGCTGACTCGCCAGAGGGGACCTCTTGCTGCCCCTTTTAGGCCTCAGCCTCATCCTCTGCACTACGGGGTGGCAATTTCAACCCTGCCATCTTCACCTAAGTTGATTAGTCCTCACTGCAAACTGTCAAGGGCCGTGCACATGCGCAGGGCAGTCATCACCAAATGGCCAGAAGATACGGAACTGAGGTAATGGTAGTAAAAAGGCAGGAGTTACCTGGGTAACTGCCTGCAGATGCTCCCAGGGCACTGGACTAGACTCCCTGCTCAGCTCTGTACAGTGGACACCTCTCCCAGGGTCCCTGCTCTGTGCTGGGCCAGGGCTGGGCATTCACAGTGGGAAGTGCCGACAGTGACAGTCAGGGCCAGCCCTCACTCTCTGCTAGTGCTAGACACACATGCTTTCATTCAGTCCGCACGGTCACTCTGTGAGCCAGCAGTCTCATCCCCTTTTGACAGCAGAGGAACTGAGGATTGGAAGAGGAAGGTGGCTGACCGTCCTTAGCAGGAGTGACTTGTTACGCTGTGCAATTCTGGAAAGTTGTATTAGTCTGTTTTCACGCTGCTGATAAAGACATACCCAAGACTGGGCAATTTACAAAAGAAAGAGATTTCATTGGACTTACAGTTCCACATGGCTGGGAAAAGTCTAACAATCGTGGGAGAGGGTGACAGGCACTTCGTACATGGCGGCAGCAAGAGAGAATGAGGAGGAAGCAAAAGAAACCCCTGATAAACCCATCCAATCTCGTGAGACTTACTCACTATTATAAGAATAGCTTGGGAAAGACCGGCCCCCTATGCTTCAATTACCTCCCACTGGGCCCCTCCAACAACACGTGGGAATTCTGGGAGATACAATTCAAGTTGAGATTTGGGGGGCAGCACAGTTAAACCGTATCATTCCACCCATGTTCCCTCCCAAATCTCATGTCCTCACATTTCAAAACCAATCACGCCTTCCCAACACTCCCCCAAAGTCTTAACTTATTTCAGCATTAACCCGAAGTCCACAGTCCAATGTCTCATGTGAGACAAGGCCCTTCTGCCTATAAAATCAAAAGCAAGTTAGTTACTTCCTAGATACAATGGGGGTACAGGCATTGGGTAAATACAGGTGTTCCGAATGGACGAAATTAGCCAAACAAAGGGGCTACAGGCCCCAGCAAGTCCAAAACCCAGCAGGGCAGTCCAATCTTATTCTAAAATGATCTCCTTTGACTCCATGTCTCGCACCTCGGTCACGCTGATGCAAGAGGTGGGTTCCCATGGTCTTGGGCAGCTCTGCCCCCGTGGCTTTGCAGGGTACAGCCTCCTTCCTGGCTGCTTTCATGGGCTGGTGTTGAGTGTCTGCAGCTTTTCCAGGCACAGAGTGTGAGCTGCCATTCTGGGATCTGGATGATGGTCCCCCTCTTCTCACAGCTCCACTAGGCAGTGCTCCAATAGGGACTCTGACCCCACATATCCCTTCTGCAGTGCCCTAGCAGAGATTCTCCATGAGGGCCCTGCCCCTGCAGCAAACTTTTGCCTGGGCATCAGGCATTTCCTTACATCTTCTGAAATCTAGGCAGAAGTTCCTAAACCTCAGTTTTTGACTTCTGTGCACCCACAGGCTCAACACCACATGAAAGCTGCCAGTGGTATTGAGCTTTGGTTTGGGTTTTGCAAAATGAACAAAAGCTACACTTTGGATTTTATAAAACGAACAATTATCCCCTTCTGTGGATGCTCAGAGATTGGGTCACCTGCCCAGGGCCACTGAATAATGGTTCTGGAACCTGCCAAGGCTTGGGGCTTGCACTCTGTGAAGCTATGGCTTGAACTGTACCTTGGCCCCTTTTAGTCGTGGCTGGAACATCTGGGATGCAGGACACCAAGTCCCTAGGCTGCACGCAGCATTGAGACTCTGGGCCGGGCGCATGAAACCATTTTTTCCTCTTATGTCTCCAGGCCTGTGAGGAGAAGGGCTGCCCTGAAGAACTCTGACATGCCCTGGAGACATTTTCCCCATTGTCTTGGGAATTAACATTCAGCTCCTTGTGACTTATGCAAATTCCTGTAGCTGGTTTAAATGTCTCCTCAGAAAACTTGACTTTCTTTTCTAATGCATCGTCAAGCTGCATATTTTCCAAACTTTTATGCTCTGCTTCCCTTATAAAACAGAATGCTTTTTAACAGCACCAGGTCACATCTTGAATGCTTTGCTGCTTAGAAATTTCTTCCACCAGATACCCTAAATCATCTCTCTCAAGTTCTAAGTACCATAAATCTCTAGGGCAGAGGAAAATTGCTGACAGTCTCTTTGGTAAAACATAACAAGAGTCACCTTTGTTCCAGTTCCCAAAAAGTTCCTCATTTCCATCTGAGACCACCTCAGCCTGGACTTTATTGTCCATATTGCTGTCAGCATTTTGGGCAAAGCCATTTGACAAGCCTATAGGAAGTTCCAAACTTTCCCACATCTTCCTGTCTTCTTCTGAGCCCTTCAAACTGTTTCAACCTCTGCCTGTTACCCAGTTCCAAAGTTGCTTCCAGATTTTCAGGTATCTTTTCAGCAACGCCCCACTCTACTGGTACCAATTTACTGTATTAGTCCATTTTCATGCTACTGATAAAGACATACCTGAGACTGGCCAATAGACACTAGAAAGATTTAATTGGACTTAACAGTTCTACGTGGTTGGAGAAGATCTCACAATCATGGTGGAGGGCAAAAGGTATTTCTTAAATGGCGGTGGCAGGAGAGAATGAGGAGGAAGCAAAAGCTTCCTCCATTAAATTACCTCCCACTGGGCACCTCCCACAACACATGGGAATTCTGGGAGATACAACTGAAGTTGAGATTTGGGTGGGGGCACAGCCAATCCATATCAGATGTCATGGGGAGTTAAAATGGAGTTAACAATCCCTTCCTCAAGGAGTTGCGGCAAGAGCTAGAGATCACTCGTGTGAAATGCCTAGTACAGCTCCAGGACATTAACAGGTGTGCAGTCAATGTAAATGAAGTCCCCCCAGACACAGTCACCCACTACCTCCCTCCCCACACTCTGGAGCACTGACAGGGAGGTGACAGGGCAACTGTGCATGGTGACGAGAGAAGTCCTGCAGGACTATCAGGAGCCCTAGGTCTCCGTGCCTGCTCTGCCATGGACTGTCCTCATCTCATCTCTGGACAAGTCTCTTCCTCTTTTTGTACCTCAGTTTCTCCAGCTTCACAGTAAGAGGTTCAGTTTAGATAATCCAACTCTAGAGTTGCAGGATTTTGAAGTTTAACAAAAACATGGACTAAATTTCTACTAAGTATATTCAAAGCACTAGGCTAGACCAGGGGGGGGAGTGTCGGGGGTGGGGGCAGGGGGGTTGGGATAGATAATAGGGTCCCTGTCCTCATGGGGCTTACAGACCAGCAATGAGAACAGAAGGCCAACTTAAAACAAGATCACTAACATCAGCTTTGGACCCAGGGGACTAGGGCTCTAGTCCCACAGCTGCCACTATCTACGTGACCTCCCCAGTTTTCTTTATTTCTTCGAGCCCTGGTTATCTGATCTGTGTAACAGTATTCACACTGCCTCCCTTTGGGACCCGTATTGTAGCTACCCCCAGGGGAAAGAGAAGCGAAGACAGGCAGCCACCAAAGAAGGCTGAGGGAGAAAGGGATCTTTGGGCCAAGATTCCACACTTTTTTCCAAACCCTGACCTGAAGATAAGAGATATCCACTGATTGACCAGGTTACATAACACAAGAACAGGAAAACATGCGCTTAGAAACCGCATCCATGTGATTTGGGGATATACTGTAAGGTTTCCAGTGCAGGCACCATGAATCATGCATTGTTGGGCCAACACGGCCAGGTCCACAGTGACTCTAGGTTTGCTGATGGCCTACAAGGACAAAGAGTAAATGGTATGTCCTCAACAGGCTCCAGGCAGGTCTCCCCAGGTGACACCGTACACACTGCTATGAGACCCTCTCACACAGCTTCGGCAACATCACTCCCTTTATCAAACCTCTTGGGTTCTGCTTTTTACCCACAGAAATCAAGTTCTCCCATGCACGAGGCACCTGCAAGCTGTCACCACCTTCTCCCCTTCCCACCTGTCCCCAGCCCCCTATCGAGATTTGAAACTCTCCTTGATAGCCAGAATGGGAACAGCCTTCACCTTACTGGACTCTGAACAACTCTCAGTCTCTGCTAACACATCTCCAAACTTGGAGAATTCCAGGGCCTGGGAGCTGGAAGGCCCCGTAGGAATCATGGGCAACTGGGGCCCAGAGAGGGGCAGTGACAGCAAGGAATGGCAGTGATAGCAAGGAGTGGCAGAGCAGGGCCCGGGACCTGGGACCTGATGCCTCACATGACTGCCAGAACTGCACGCAGCCATCCCGCCTACCCCTGGCCTGCTCCCAGCAGAACAAAGCCTGTTCTGTCCACTTGGGCCCCAGGCCACCCTCGCTCCTGGCCTCTCACCCCACAGGCCTCCTTCAGTAAATTCTCTGCTGTGAGTTACCTGCTGTTTTCCTACTTGATGTGTGAGCAGCTTCGGGCAGTGCCCTGCCTACTTCACCTGTGTGTTCTTTCCCCCACCTGGGATCAGGGCCAGGCCTAGAGGGTGTGTGGAATAAGAGCAGGATGAACAGGTCAACTGCAAGACCCAGACCAGGTGTGAACCTAGTTCTGTACCTACTAGGTACAGTTCTGTATGCTCCGAGGCTCCTCAACAGGGCAAAGAACACGGCGTTGCTAAAAGGAGTAAACGACAGAATGGCAAGGATTCCACTCACTAACTGCCATACTAGTACTCAACATGTGGCAGACAGTGACAGTGATTTGCCAAGCCTGCTGAAGGCAGTCGAAATGTGATTCTTCATGTTCCTCCCCACTCAAGTTCCCAGTGCAGTGCCAGGAGTGCAGCAGGTCCAAGACTGCCTGTGCTAACATTCTCCAGGCACTTCCCTGGTGTCTGCTGGTAAAGCTGTGAACTCTCTTCTCCAAAGAGAGCTTTCTGGGTGTTGGGTTCAAGCTTGAACCCACCTGGCCCCAGCTGCCTGCCCCTAGTGCTACACTACGGCATCTCTGGTCTGTAACATCTTTCAGCTCCCTCTGCCACCCTCGACAACTTCCACAGGGCGCTGTTGGCACAGGGCCCCAGAACCCACCTAAGACCAGCCTTTGTCTCGACCAGTTGTTCCTCAGAGCCTCGCTGCCTCTCACCCCGCTCCCCTCAGTCATGAGCTCACTCGGGCTGATGCCAAGGAAATCCCCAGGTGGACGGTTCAGAAACGTCCTGCCCTCCAACCACTTCGTCAGCTCTGGAAACGCAAGGCAGAAAGAATTTCAAGGCCAGACTCCTGGAGCCCCAAGGGCCGGCTCTTGCAACAGACCCACTAATGCAGCACATCTGGACAAACACAGCAGCCTACCATGTGCTCTCTGCCAGCATCTCACTTCTGCCTCACCATGGTCTTGACTCGGGATTACGTCCCTACTTTGCAGACAAAGAAATGGATGTTATGCAGCTGGGAAGGAGAGGACCCAGGACTCAACCCCAGATGTCTTAGCTCCAGATCCACTCTGCCTTAACTTACAAATGAGTACACGTGCAAGACAGCTTAGACCTGGTCATGCTGGACTGTACTTACATGTTTACTTGTCTGACCTACTGTGGGCAGGGATGGGATCAGGTACTGTTTTATGCCCTTGCAGCTGAGCACTGAGCCTGGTACAGAGCAGACACCCTGTAAAGATGCACCAGGCACCTAGAATTCTGCCACCCCACCAAAGGACACCTCTCACCCTCTCCCTTGCTTCCTCAACTACCGTCTGTTTAGTCACCCTGCAGGTTCAGCAGGTTAGATGGCATTATATCTACTTTACAGCTGTGTAAAGAAGCCCAGAGTGGTTTGTAAGCCCAGAGCTGTGTCGAGAAGCCGAGAGGTTCTGTGATCCATCCAGAGTCGCATAGCCAGAGAGGACTGGGGCTGGACCCAGGACCCAGGTATTCTGACATTCAGTACCTGGCCTCCTCCATGACATGATCCCAGGGATCTGTAAGCCTAGCAACTTACCCCAGGAGGATAATCTACAGGGAGATGGGCAAGGTTCCCAATACGATTGTCTCCTTCCAATGTCTTCTTCCCGAAGATTTTCAAGTTCCCATCAACCCGAGGCAGCGTACATGGTCACAGGAGGAGGCGCTATGGGGCAGAGGACAGGAGTTTTGTAGCTAGGCAGTCTGGGTTCCAACTCTACAGGGCCTTCACTGCTGAGGCTTGCCTGTGCCCTCACCCTCTGAGTCCTCAATTGCAACATGGAGATAATCCTAGCGCTGGTCCCAATGGGTCGCAGTGATGATTACATGAGGCAAAGTGAAGACCCAGACCCAGCCTGGCACACACTGGTATTCACTGAATCTTGGTTCCTGTCCCCAGTGGGTGATTTTGGGGACGAAAAAAGGAGCTGTGATCCCCGCAAATCCTGAGGCAAGGCAGGGGCTGAAGATGGAGAGGATTCCACAGTTCATCCCAGAGGCCTTGGATCCTCTTTCCCGCACCGTCCAGGGTCCCGGTGTGGCTACAAGATGCTGACCAGCCACTCCCAAGAGACTGGGAAGGGTTAGCTGGAAAGGTCACAGAGGTCAGAGGAGGCAGAAGCTGCTGTGTTACCTGTGACAGAACGAGGGCGGAGCATCAAATCTGCAGCTCCCCGGGGGCAGGTGGGGTCACCGTCTTCCCTCTCCCTCATCCCTAAGCCGGGCAGTCCTCCACCTGTCCTGGTCGGGCTCAGGAGGCCTGCTGCAACAGCCTCACTCCTGGCCCTGCCTCCAACTGCCAGCCGTGCTGGGTACCAGAATGCACTTCCCAACAGAAGACTGGGACCCCACCACAGCTCCCTCTTTAAACCCATCCCACAGAGACAGCTTTCTAGTCCAGAGGCCTGACTCTTCTAGAGCCACCTACCTTTTTGCGCAGGCTGTTCCCTCTGATGAAAAACAAAGATACCCTTCTGTCTACCAGCAAACTCTCACATGTCTGATTTAAAAAGCCACCTCTTCTGTGAGGTTTTCCCAGTCCAATCTGTCCCTCATCCAGGAAAGGCCACCCACACTGTGAGCTCCCATGGCCCTTGGGCTGCCCCTGTCAAGGTACTGGCCCACTTCTGTGACCATCTATGTATGTGTGTCTACCTCCTGGCCTGCATGAAGCCTGGCCACATGAAGGGGAGAAGTCAGATGAATGAAATGTCATGGACAGAAAGCATCCTTCTGCTTTGTGGGAAACGTAACAATTGGTGCAACCTTGCAGGATGCTTAGGGCTCTGCCCACTGGTGAAATCAGGTTTAGGACCAGAGTCAAAGCTGTCCCTGCCTTCTATTGTTCATGTAATCCAACAAATGTTGGCACAATGTAATACACACTACAAACCACTTTTCATTTATTTGCACATGTAATTCATTATCTTATTTAATGCACCAGATCAGTGAAGCAGGAGTTAGTATCCTCACATGTTAAGTAAGTTACTTGTCCCAGGCCACAGAGGTAGGAAGGAACGGAGTGAGAGTAAAATCCAGATTGGTCTCCCAGCCTCCGGCACCACCCACAAGCCAGAGAAGGGTTTCATAAATCACCAACCCCATCCTGCTGGGCCGGTTTAAACCCTCCAGGAGCTCTCCATTGCCTACAGGCTCAAATATAGCTTCTCAGCCTGGCATTCAAGGCCTTGGTGATTTGGCCTCTGCCTTCCTTTCCAGCCTCAAGTTCAATTCCAATTCACCACCCTCGAGACCTTGCATCTGACAGTCTACCATGCTGACCACCTGTGCTGTTTTCACGCATAGGTCCTGCACATGCTGCTCCTCTTGTGGGAGACACTTCCTGCCTCCCCTGTGTACCACTAACTTCAAAACCGTGAGCAGGAGTAACCTCCGGTCAGGCCCCTCCCTCCGGGGTTATTCCCACAGAACCTCTTAGGACTTGTTTCCGCCAGTGGACTTTCAGGGAGGACCCAGCCCTCTTTAGGAATTATCCTTAGTGCCCACGCCAGCTTTGCTCTTCGAAAGGATGCAAGAACTCTTAAGTGCATCCCCTGTGTTGACCCAGGAGTTATGATTAAGAAGAAATCCAATCTGGACTCTACCACCTACAAACTGTGATTTAAAAGGTAAGAGGAGAAAAGGTCAACCCCCCGCCCTTCACTCCATTTTTGACTCATTTATTCGTTTTTGTCTTTCAACCTGATGTTGGAGGAAGGGTAGGTGGAAGGCTGGTGGCCGATGGCCCTTGCAGCCTTCCTGGGAAGCAAAGTAGTGCCTCGGAATAGGTCAGGTCAGAATGGGGGTGTCGGTTAAACATCAAAGTGTTTCTAGGTTCTGGGATCTGAAGCAGTCAGCAGAACAGGAGAGGCTATTAATACCTCCTCTACCAGAAGGGAAACTGAGACCAGAGAGGAAAAGGAAAATGCCCGCGGCTTTCGCTTTCCCGGGTTAGCGGCCTGTGTCCTCCCATCATGTCTGCAGCATCCTACAAAGTTCTTGGTTAAAGACTGGAGTGAGCGGTGGGGAAGAGGGTGTTTAGGGTTATCTCTGCGACTTAGGCTCAAAAGTTCCGTAGGCTCCTGACGCTCTCCGTCCCTCCTCTCCCGTCAGTCCGTCCCTCCTCTCCCGTCAGTCCGGCGCTGCAAGTCTAGACTTACCCGAAGGGTAGAGCGCGCAAGGATGAAAAAAGGATCGACGGACCTGAGTCACCTCCTCGAAGGGTGCCGCTCTCCGCCCGGCTCCAGAAGCGCTGGTTATTCCCATCGCACACCCCGAGCCGCGAGGGAGTTCTGGCCCTGTCCGTACCAGAGTGACCGCGCCTCTGCGAAGCTGAGCAACTTGCCAGCGCAGTGCAGTGGGCCAGTGGCCGTCCCAGTTGAAACCTAAGTGTGCAAGGCTCCCACTGCCCCCAGCCGCGGGCATGCCCGGATCTGGACTGGCGGTCGCCCTCTCGCCTACCGCGTCAGAGGTCTGGTCCCCCTACTCTGGGGTTGGGCTGCAAACGGAGAGCGGGTCTCAAAGCGGGGCGGGTCTCCCCAACAGACATATCTCCCTGGGTCACACTCTTTCCAAGAAGCCAGGGAGGGCAACGCCAGCCGCCCAGTCCCTTCCTCTTTTCAACCCCGAGCCCGAGCCCGGGACCGACCGCTCACCTCCGCCTTCCCGCGGGGGTCTGCCGGGGAGTCCGCACTCTCCGCCCAGCCCCGGCCCGGCCCGGCCCGGCCAGTCCCAAGGCGCTGCCAATCCCTGGATCACCAATCCCATTGCAGCCCCTCGCGGTCGTGGGACCTCAGGAGGGGGAGGGGGAGGGGGAGAGGGAGGGAGAGGGGCGGCCTGCCTGCGCCCCCGGCCGAGCTGCGGTGGGGAGGACGGGGGCTGTTGCCCGAGGAACCGGGAGAAAAGTTTGGAGCCAAGTCAGGGGCCCGGGCGGACAGCGGGGGAGCGGGGAGGTGGGGCGGCGTCGGCCTCTCGGCGCGCACACCCTCCGCGGACACCCAGCCCAGACACGTCGGCAGGCACCGACCACGTACGCGGACACACGGGATGCGCCCACTGACACCCTCCGCCAAACGCAGGCCCGCAAACGTGGATACGGGTGCGGAGCAGCCACGCAAAGCCGCGGACACACAAAGGCACCGGCAGCGGCGCGTCCCCGACCGCAAATCCACAAAGACCCACAAACGTGAGGTGCACGTGTCCGCACAAAGACCCCAGAGGCGCCGACCCACGCGCCCCCCGCCCGGGAGCGGAGCCTTTGTCTCCCGAACGCCCTCTTCCCCTGGGTCGGCGTCCCCCGCTCCCGCCCAGCCCCAGGCGTCCGGCGAAAGTTGAGCGGCCTCGGCGGGACCCAGCCCCGCCCCTGCGCCCGGCGCCCCCGTCCGCTAAACGGGCGGCGAGGACGGGGTCGGAGGCTCGGGGGCTTCGCCCACAGCGCGGACGCCCGCGCCGCCGGGGGACCCGCACCCACCTGGAAGCCGGCGCCGCCACCGCCTCGGCACGCTCACCCCGGCGGCCCGGCCGCGGGCCCTGAGGCCGGCGCTTTTCTCCGCTCGACGCGGCCCGCCCCCTGGTCCCCGCCCGCAGCCGGGCTCCCCACTGCCGGGCGCCGGGTGGCGGCTCAGGGAATGTCGCCAAAGTGCCAGCCTCTCTCGGAGCGCGCCCCGCCCGCGGAGCCCGCGCCGAGCCGGGTTCCACCCTAGGGAGCGTCTCAAAAGTGCGTAGCTCCCGCCCCCTCCAGTCGGCTTTGCTCGCAGCTTCCTGCATCCCGGATCCTTGCCCCCTCCCCCTGCGCGCCCCAGCGATCTAAGCAGATGGCCGCACGGTCGGGAACATCTGGAGGTCGCCGGAGTACGTGCCCGTGTGTGTGTGCGTGTACGTGTGTGTGGAGAAAGAGGGAATCAGTTGCTAGTAAGAAAGAGATTGGGTGGGTGGGTGACGGCTTCCTCTTTGCATGTTCACCGCCCCTCCCCATTTTTTTTTTTTTTTTTTTTTTAAAGAATGAAAGAGGTTCAGGGACGACAGTGAGCCAGAAACCAAGAATCTGAAGCAGAGAAAGACTTGGTGAAAGACGAACCCACAGAGAAGAGAGAGCCCGGCTCGGGCAGAAAAGCCGGCAGGAGAGGAGAGAGACAGTCGACAGATCTGAGTTTTTCTTTTATGGAGCGAACCATTGACTTCTGGTTAGAGTTCTAAGAAGGGAAACTGGCGAGTGAGTAGGCAGCAGATTCGGTCTATTCCCCCTGCTGCAGCTCCTCGGTTCTAACCCCTCTTTATGCTAAAAAGGGCAGGAAAGCATCCAAGACACTTTAAAATGAGGGTTTGAAGGAGAAATGACCTGGTGGATGCATTCCCTAGGAGGGGAGAGTTGGGTGTGTGTGTGGCTTCCAGTCTACACACCCCGACAATACCTACCTTGGGAGGGGCAGTTCACAGGTGGGGGAGTTCATAGAGGCTTTGGTCTTGGGCCCTGGACCTCCCTGGAGCTTCTCCTAGACTTTGGAGAGGGCCCCAGGGTGCGGAGATTGGGCAGTGTCCCCCCCTGCAGTGGCTCACACTTGTCAACACACCCTGTCTGTTTGATTCTTCTTTCTTTATTACTTTTTCTTATTCATAGGAAAAAAAAAAAAAAAAAAGGAGTTGCTTGAGTCTGTGTGTGCATGCACACTTGTGTACCTTGGGAAGAAGGAGAAAAGTAGGGAGATAGTGATGTAGGAGTAGAGGCCACTACCCCAGGCCTCAGGGCAGCAAAATCAAATTTGCCGCCCAGAAAACAAACTGGTCTTGCAGGTCCTCCCTGCACTCAGAGCCATTTTATGGTCTTGGAAATGGCTTGGGCTGAGACCTGTGGACCCTGCCAGTTAGGGAGGTGCAGAGAAAAGGCTGGGAGTCCGGTCTTGTATGTGTGGAGGCAGGGAGAGCTCCCCTCTCTCCTCTCCATCCATTGTCCTCTCCTGATTAGAATCCCAGCTTCCACAACTAGAAGGCCTGCTGTGATCATCCAGCTCAGACTCCTCCTGAGTCTTTGGGATAGCACCATGGGCCATTTGGTATCCAGTGTCTTCCTCACTGTTGAGCTTAAAAGAGCTGCAGGGACCCCACTCCACACCCCCTGGGGCCTATAGGGAGGAGCCAGACCCCTCCCATTTCCGACCTTCCCATACCCTCCCCTCTCTAAAGGTCCCCCGCCACCTCCCCGCCCCCCATCCCCCCCCCCCCCCCCCCCCCCCGCCCTTGATGGAAGAGAGACCTGCAATCAGCATCCGGTGAGGGCCAAGCTCGGACAGGATTATTCAGGTTCCAGCCCTGCCACTTACCAGCTCTGGGTAACTTTAGGCAAGTTACCTAGCCTCTCTGAGACTCAGTTTCTGCAACTATAGAAGAGGTTGTTGTGAGGAATCAACAGGGTAATTTAGGTGAAGCATTATTCTGGCTCACAGGAAGCTTCTTTGTGCGGCTGCTAAAGGTCTTCCATCAGGGATTGGTGTAGAAGTTAGAAAGCCCAGCAGGCTTGGGAGGGGAGGGGTGCCCGGGAATGACCTCCGGACTCTCTGGCTTGTCTAGCTTGTATTCTTGCTGCTTCCACCCCTCCCATAGGGACATTTGTTTGAAGGAATGGCCTCCCCACCTTGCTCTGGACGAAGGATTTCCATCCTCCGCTCCATGTGGAATTGTTTAGTGAGTCTCAAGTTCAGCATCTGAGACCTGGAGACGAAAGGACTCATTTCCTTGAGAACTCAGGGATGCTAACTCCCACTGCACTGTATGTGCAGGGTCGAGCCAGCGAACTGGAGGCTCCAGCCCTCACATTTAACATAAAAGTCATCAACAGCCCTTCACACTTTGGCTGATAGCTGGCAGCAGTTTCTGAATACTTCCACATTCATCATTTCTCTTGATCTCCCCTTAGCGGGAGGTGACCCTCCGGGCTTCAGCTGGAGGATCTCCATGAACTTTACCCCACTGTGCCTTCAGTTGAGAATCTCTGTGCCTCTAGACTTTCTTCTTCTGCCTGCTTCCCACATTCTAGCAAGAGTGCCCTTTCTAAACTGCAAATCTGCAAATGGATCATGACATTGGCCTGCTTAAAGCCTTTCAGTGGCAACAGCTAAATGGTTGGCGTGGCATTCCAGGCCTATGTGATATGCCCCCACCTCACCTTAACTCTCCAGCATCAGTTCTGGCCACCCCTCTTACACATCCCAAGCTGTAGTCCCCTAGTCACCTAGAAATCAGGGAAAGGAGGTGGACCTTCTCCATTCATCAAGTCTGTTCAGTGTCCTCGCCCCTGGAAGCCCTCTCACTGGCAAAGTTGGCCCCTCCATCTATGATGTTGCCATGCCCTTTGTATATAAGCACCACCATTTTCACCATTCTCTTCCCCTTCTTGTGATCATCGTGGCCACTGTAGCATGTCAGGGACTGTGCTGGGTACTTTTAAGATCATGATGTCATCCAAACAACCACACCAGAGGGATAGTGGTGAGGCCCAGAAAGGGCAAGAGATGTGTCTGGGGTTACATAGCATGTTCTCTGCAGAGCTAGCACAACAGTTAGGGCTCCAGTGCTCTTTCTCTTGCTTTATAATCTCCACAAAGAGCAGAGGTGGTATAGCAGAAAGGCCTGGGAATCTAAGGATCCCAGGTGCAAATTGCTACTCTATCCCTGGCTAGCTATGGACTTTGGGTAAGTCATTTCCTTCCCCTAAGCCTCAGTTGCCTTACCTGTAAAATGGAGATAAATAAGAAGCCCTATCTCCCAGGGATATTGGGGTGATCAAATGAATTAGTACAGAGGCAAATGTGTTATAAGCTGTAGGATGCAGTATGCTTTTATTTATTTATCTAGAGAAGAAGTCTTACTCTGTCACCCAGGCTGGAGCACAGTGGTGCAATCATAGTTCACTGCTGCCTTGAATTCCTGGGCTCCGGGGATCCTCCTTCCTCAGTCTCCTGAGTAGCTGGGACTACAGGCACACCACCACTGTGCTTCGATAATTTTTAAATTATTTGTAGAGACGGGGGTCTTAGCATCTTGCCCAGGCTGATCTCGAGCTCTTGGGCTCAAGCACTCCTCCTGCCTTGGCCTCCCAAAGTGCTGGGATTACACAGTGTCTGGCTGTGGTGTGATTTTCATTGACTTACCTGAACAGCCATACTGTGGCTGGAGGTGATCTGTTGAAGATCTCTTTTCTTGAAGTGCTCTTGAGTGGAGGTCAAAAGACACTATTCGTCCTTTCGTTTTGAGAAAGGTCCCATTTCCCATGTTTTGAGAAAGGTCTTTCATTTCCTGTCCATTATAGCTGTCAAGCCCTGTCCAGAAAACCCTTCAGATCCAATATATCTCCTTGAGCCTCCAGGATCTCTATTTATCTTGCTGCATTTTCTTCTTTTCAACTGTCAGAAGCTGGCAGGTCCTAAGTTAGTAGAGCATCAGGACCATGTGTGGAAATAGCAGAAAAGAAGACCTGGAAGAAAAAGAATGAGTCTCCACCCCCACCCCCCGAACCCAACTCTGTAGATGTGGCATGTGGCAGATTATTTTTCTAAAAGTTCCTCTGGTGATTCTGATATTGGTACAAGGACTTCAGGACAGGACAGAATATCTTGGAGTTGGAAGACTTTCCACACGTGTTCTCATTAAACCTCTGAACAGGCTTGTTAGGTGGTTGACTTTCCCCTCCATTTTACAGATGTAGAAACTGAGCTCAGAAGTGACTTACCCAGGATTGCAGCTGGAACGGAAGACTGGTGCACGAACAGAACTCCAGCCATTCCTCTGCAGGGTGGAATTTTGTGCCTGGGCTTTGCTGGTGTCTCAGCAGTCAATGCATGACAGACGCTTCTCCCATCCTGCCAAATCAAAATGCTTCCCTAAATATTTCTCTCCCACTCTTCCACCTCCATGCTTTTTCCCCTGCCTGGGATGCTTTTCTCAGTTCAATCTAGCAGCTGCAGTTTTCGCTGTCCTCCAAGCCCTGCCACCCTGCACAAAGACATTTCCATTTCCCGCAGGTTCTCTTCCTTTGAGCCTGGAAACACCTGGTCTGTGCCTCAGTACAGCTGTCTCTTCAGCCCTGCCTCAGCCTGATGCTCCAACATCCCCAGCTGTTGTGGTTTCCTGCGGCTTCTGGCAGTTCCTTACCACCTCTGGGTCTTTGCTTTTCTTTGCGCCCACAGAAGTGCCCCTTGCCCTGCCCCATCTCCTACTTATTATTCAAAATTCAGCTCAGGTATCACTTCTTCCAGGAGGCCTTCCCTGACGTCCCCCAACCCATAATTCTACTATTAGGACCCTTCCTCTGTGATGCAAGGGAATACTGAGGATACCTCTGTAATGAGTAAGATTGTTCATTTGTTCACTCATTCATTTATTATAGCAAGGTGCAGACTTTGGAGCCAAACCTCAGGTTTGAATCCTAGCTTCAAAGTGGGCAAGTTCTTAACCGTCCCCCACCCCCCTGAATCTTGGCTTACTGTCTGTAAAATGAGGAAAACCATAGACCCTACATCAAATGTTGTTGCAAAGATTAAATGAATTATCTGTATAGCATGTGTATAACACTGCCTGGAATAGTAGTAACACATTACTATATTAGTATTTGATGAATGTTGGCTACTTCTCTTATAATTTGTTAATTCACTTTACAACATAGGAAAAATGTTTGTAAAGCTGGACAGAGAAGAGAATTCTGGGTAGATGGCAGAGTAGGAAGCATCAGGAATCCATCTTCCCACCTAGAAAACAATTGCACTGGCAGAATCTGC